ACTATCGTGAACAGGGAACGAAGGTAGGCGGCCGCCCAGGAACAGCCGAAACCTCCCAGACTTCTCACACACAAAGAAAACGGAGCTCCGCAGCGGCGGCCCCGAGTCCGACGACGCGCCGCGCGCCGCGCGCCCGCGCCGTCGGCCTGCGAGCCCTCGCAGCGCCCCGGCGCGCCCCCTGGGCGCAGGGTGCCCCCGTCAAGAGTCGAGTCTCCCACCACCCTTCGTAGGACCCCCAATGGAAAAGCAGCAAGCTCGCAGCACCGCGCCGGAAAACCTCCACGCGATCAAGTCACAATCGGCCACGCGGCTCAAAAGCTCAGCGTAAAGCGACGGCGACTTCCGGAGAGCAGGGTCGGAGGAGGAACGAGCAGGCCCTTGAAGAAGAGAACTCTCCCTGCCAGTGGATTATGGCAAGCATCTCTTTGCCTCGGCCCCCTGCCACAAAAAAAACTCCAAGGACCGCGAAATGCCCCCCGAAGCCGGCAGGTCAACCAAGGGAGCGATGACGGTGCCTTCGCCGAGGCGCTCTTGGCCCGAAGTACTGAAGGGGGCCTCCTGGCGCCCAACGATCGCCGAACCGGGTTGAGACTGGCCTGCTGGCTAGCGGCAGGACCACGAGACGACCTGGGGCTGCGCGAGCCGAGGTACATGTCGTTGAGCGCGCCAGCCATCTCTTCGCACAGCCTATCCACGCGGCTGGCGCGAAAGAGCCGACGACGCGTAGACCTGCGGGGGGAAGAAAAAAAAAAAAAAAAAAAAAAAAAAAAAAAAAAAAAAAAAAAAAAAAAAAAAAAAAAAAAAAAAAAAAAAAAAAAACGCACTGCAGCCCCACTCTGGTCCCGATTCAGGCAGGCCATGGCCAGCGAGTCCTTGGTCATGCCAGAGAAGATGGCTGCCTCGTCAAACACCGCGTGCTGCAACGAGGCCGCGGGGTTCTTGCCCTTGTCCTTAGCCGCTGTGCGGGAAGAGAGGAAGTCCATGTGGTACACGTTAATAATCGCTTCGCTCATTCCGCCGGCCCATATTGTCGCACCGTTGTGGGCTAGCCGAGTTTTGATACCTCTTGGGGGCCGTTTTGGGGCCTCTTGGAGCCTCTTTTGGGCCTCTTGGGCGCCTCTTGGGGCGTCTTGGGGGCCTCTTGGGGGCCTCTTGGCGCCTTTTTGGAGCATCCTGGGCGCCTTCTGGAACGGAGGGCTCGATTTTTCAGTTCTCGGTTCCCCTCTTGAGCCCCTCTTGGGCCCGTCTTGGGGCCTCTTGGTCCGTCTTGGGCGGCACTTGGGCCGTCTTGGAAGCCCTCCTGGGCCGTTCCGCGCCGTCTTGGAGGCCTCGTGGGCCGTCTTGGAGCGGTCTTGGGGGCCTCTTTTTGGCTCAAGCCATTAATAGTGGGTTAAGCGTTGCGTCTGGGTGTCGTGGGGCGCCCCTGGTCGTCCCGGCGGGGGCGGGCGCGGCGCGCCGGCCATGGGCCGGGGTCTCTCCACTCCTGGGTGTACGAGCGATGGGGGACGTTGTCTGCCAGCGCTCCCTTGGGGCGTCGGGAGGGAGCGCCGTCTAGTGCGGCACCCAGAAAGCGGGCCATGTGCTTGCTTGGCGGTGCAGTGCAGCATTTTGATGTCAGGAGCGGTGAGGGTTCCTATGCGCCTGGTCTCTTCCCCTTGCCCCTTCCTGCCCTCGCCCGTCCTTGCCTGCCCCTCCCCTTTCCCCTCCCCAGTCCCCCCTTTTCCCTTGGGCCTCCATGCATTGGGTAGAGCAGTGAGTGATGGGTAGCAGGAGCAGTCTCGCTCGCCCTTGCGCTTGTGCTTGTCTGCTTTTGCAAAAGTGCGGGTGGTTCTGGGGCGGGGCTGGCCGTCGAGGCTCCTTTGAGCCATGGGGGCCAGCGTCGTCCATGACCGCCCTGTATCGCCTCTTGTGTTGTCTTCTCTGCTGTGTGCCTGGCCTTCTGCGGGGGGGGCGCTCTTTCGCTATTGACGTTCCCGATACTTCACTGGCGCTCTGGTAATAACATATGCCGTGGTCCTGCAAGGCCGTTGTGGCTACCGCAGTGCAGCCAAGCATGTCATGTGCAGCGTAATGGGGAAATGGGTCTGGCAGCGTCTGTGGAGGCATGGGGGAGGTGAGGGTGAGGCGCCCTGGAGTGTAATCAGCACATCTTGCTGCCACCTCTTCCTGATGGTGTGTCGGTGGTTGGGATCGGTCGTGGGAGCATGAAAGGCCGCTTCTCCGTCTCCCCCCTCCCCTCTTCGATGGGTTCTTGGGCCGGCCGCTGCTCGTCCCCGTTGGCCTTGGGGCTTCCGTGGGCGGGTGGGGTGGACCGTCGTCGTCGTCGTCGTCGTCGTCGTCGTCGTCGTCGTCGTCGTCGTCGTCGTCGTCGTCGTCGTCGTCGTCGTCGTCGGCGGCGGCGGCTGCGGCGGCGGCGGCGGCGGCGGCGGCGGCGGCGGCGGCGGTGGCGACTCGCCTGCATGCCTTTCTGCAGGTCAGAAGGGGGGGGCTGTCAACCAGGGCTTTGCCCTGGTGGGGAGCGCCGTCCTCCATTCGCGCTCCTCCGCCCTCCCCCCTCTCCCTCGTTGTAAGTGGCATTATATAAAGCAACCAGGGCAAAACCTAGAAGAGGAGAACCTAGGGGGGCTGTCCTCTTCTAGGTTCCTGCCCCCCCTCCAAAGATGGGCGGCCGAACGGTTGTGAGTTTTCCTCGCCTTGCCGGGCTGTTTCAGAGAGTGCTGTGCGTCATCACAAGCGTCCTCTGCACCCTCTGATCCGTTGCTTGGCTCTCCGCGTTGGGTCCGCCGCCCGCAGCCTTTTCAG